CTGCAAGGGAAAAGCCAGTTTCCCATGTTTTTCTCCTTTTAAAGGAGAATCTACTTTTAAAGTTTGTTTGCAACCCTTTCATATATTCTTGTGACCCACTTTTGCGTGACAGCCTACGGGTTGAGAAACACTGATGTATGGAGTCTTGACTTCCATTTTTCTAAAGAACGATGTATTGGTTGATGGTAGTGATTTTATTTACTCATAAAACATACCATATTTTGTTGCATATCACATACTCTGGAATATAACATGCACCTTGTTCTTAAAAGGCACAATTAATTTTAAAAAAATCTTTCCTTGTAGTTGTAGCAGCTAGGAAGCAGATCCTGCCCATTGTTCTGCTCACTGTTAGTCTTGTGTAGATTTTACTTTCACTTTTGTCTGTAACTGGCAGAAACTTGTTACATATAATGTGCACAGCAATTTCCAATAGCTGTTGCTTGGAAAAAATGTATGTTGTACCCAGAAAAATACAGTAGCTTCATAACTCAGTAGAACTTGTACATTAAATTTGATACATCTTTTTCTACCTGTCTTGTTCATTTAAGTAATTATGAGCATCTCTGCTTCTCACCAAAGTACCTGGTTAGTGTGTTAGAAAATAATGAATGATACATTGCCTCTTCACTAGATAATTAACTTTGATCTTGATGAAATGGTTACAAATCTTTTGCACCTAGTAGCATAGCTGCTTTGACTTCCCATAGGATCAACCCCCTAATATAGTGTGTTACCTGTTGGGCCATTTTTTTATGCAACTTCATCTCAGAAGTTAGATGTTTTCCCCTGATTGTTTCTTTATGTGAAAAAGCATGCAGGCTGTAACTCAAACCTTTTTTTTTTTTTTTTTTCCTCCTAGTCTTATGTATTCAGTAAGTTAAGGTTTTTTTCTTATTTAAATATTTTAAGGGATTGTAATAAAACGACATTTTTATTCCAAAAATTAAGTAGGATTGTTTTGGGGGGAAATGTAAATAGTAGTAAAAAAAAAAAAAAAAAATTAGACTAGATCTTTTCCTGGCCAAAAATAATCTTTTGTGAACTCCACCCCTACAAAAAGGGAGAGGTGGGGGGGGGGGGGGCATTTGAATCTGCCTTCACAGCAGGTAGGAGAACAGACTGATATATAACAGTCCTTGATCTCATTTTTAATAATAAATTAGTGGATCTATAATCATATGAAATGCACCAATAAAATACATTTCTGGAAAGAGTTTTTTAAATACTAATTCTGCAAATGTTTACATGTGTGTAGCCTTATGGTATTCATGTGTGTAAGTGTTTACAGGGCTGGGACCATGTTTGTACTGTAGCTGCTGGAATTTTTTTCTGTGAAAAGCTCTTACAAATACTGTGAATAAGTACATTTTTCATGTCTTTTTTTAGCAAACTATGATTTAATCCTGAGGTGCATTTTAGTTTTAAATTTGTATATATTATGAGCTTATATATTATAACTGTGCTTTCAAACATAAGGTATTATTACATTTAATATTAGCAAGGGTCCTGGGTTTTTTTTCTCTGTTTAAAAGTAGTAGATTCTCTGATTTAAAATGTTCCAAATCCATGTTTTTCTGTAATTAAAATTAAATGCCACTATATACATAAGTATCAGTTAAACACACTGTTTTATTGATATATTTACAATGTTAAAGCAATTTGGAAGCCTACCAGTGCCTCAGTCACTATAATAAAATAAATTCTAAATGCCTATAAATTTTGGCATTTGATTTTGGGTTTTTTTATCATGGAAAATAAGAGTACTGCTTGCCCCCATGGCTCACCAGGACATGGGTCCAGCTGCAGTTGTCCCCCTCACTACTTTGTGCTGCTGAGCAGCCATGATATACCAGTGCCCTGTCCATGCCATTGCCCCTTGACTTGCGATCCACAGCCCTCTTCCTCCCGCCCCCAGCCAGAGGGGGGCCCCCAGGTGCCAAGATTATGGGACCAGGGACCTGGGTCTGCAGACCCCTGCCCACCCAGCAGCAGTGAGGGACACAACTCTGCACCACCACCCCCTCTGCTGCCAAGCAGGCAAGGGGTGCCTTGCCATGGCGGTACGGGGCTAACAGTGACAGCACCAAGCTTCCCCACCCCATTCTTGTACTGCTGTGCTGGGCCGCAGAGGCCGCTGGGGGATGATAGCAGGGCAGGGAGCCCCAAGCCCACCACATGCATCCTGCCCCTACCCTGCACACTTCTGGGGAGTATATCCCCCTGACGGCCCCCGGCCCGCCCCCCCCCGGAGTGAACACATCAGCAGGGAGCCACCCT